TGTGATAGTTATTTTTGTATATTTGTGTTTTGCCCCCCCCCCCCCCCCCCCCCCCGATCTCTCAGAGTGTGTTATTTATCACCATGACTGTTGGTGAGTGTGGATCATTCATTATACTGAGGACTGAATGCAGCAACATCATGTTCTGGTTAATGTTTCAAATACAGAGCAGGAGATGAAGACGCTCAGAGCTGCAGAGATGCAAGCTTGCTTAAAGGCTGACATTATTTTTATTTATCTTTTGCTTATTCTTACAGTTCTTTTGCACATCTTGCATTTACACGTGAAACTATTTCTTCTCTCTCTATGAGCTCTTGCAGGACTTGTACAGAATGTGCCTGCGCACCTCTGTTTTTCTTCTTTCGCATGAATAAAGATGTAGTTCTCCTTTAAGGTCGACAGCAACATGGTTTCTGCGTTTTCCAAAGCTTTCAGATTTTAAGTTGACGACAAAACCTCTTCAAGCAGCCGTTTGAGGCGTCACGCCTGACCGCTCTGTGGCACGTTTAAATGTTGCAGTCAGATGTGCTGCTCAGGGCGTGCTGCTGTCTTTGAATATTGATTCAAGTTTGATGACCATATGGTGCATCTCATGAACTGAACATGATAATTCTCCCATAAAGAAGCATGTCGGTGTCTCTGGAAGAAGCCGGGCTTCTTTACGTCGAGGTGAAACGGCTCTTCTTTCTCTGTGGTTGAACTTTAAGCTGATTGTAGTGAAAATTTGCTCTGACACAACAAAGCTTTTGACAGTTGTCTGGATGAGTTGTGATAAAATTACCTGAAAAGACCACAGAGGACGTTATTTCTGAGTCTGTGTCATCACGATGAAACGTTAGTCTACTGCACGGGTGTCCAAAGTGCGGTTCGAGGGCCGCAAAGGGCCCTCGGAGTGATTCTGTGCTGCCCACAACTGCAGCTTAAAGAATGGTATCATTTTGGCCAGCAGGCTTAAGAGGTCGATGCAGAATTTCTGCAAATTAGTTGGTAATTCCTTTTATATAATGTTTAGGTTTAAAAGCAAAACAGGTGATAAACAATCTTCTCAAAATGAGCAATATTAAACAAAATATAAATCTTAGGCTATAATCTATAAATTTTCACTTCATGGTATAAAGCACCAAAAAACTTTATTGATTTCCACCAGAAAATTGATTTCCACTCTTTTGTATAATTATTCATAAAACTTGGCTAAATATTGGTTGATAAAGTAATCAAGAGGGAAACTGAACATTTTAAATGACTATAACATGGCATCATCTACATACGAGTTGATCAACTTTATCAAACCTTCTATGAATAAGTTGTAGCAACTGACAGTTGGTTGGTTTTTCAGAACTTCCATCAGCCTTTTGGGTCGTCCATGGTCCAAAAGGCTGATCAACCCCCTTTTAAAAGGACACTTACTCAAATTACACTTTTGCTGCTGAGAACAGGCTAAAATGAACTTTCAAACACACAAAACAACAAGCATCGACCCAACAAATCAAATAAATTAAATCCTTTTAAATTAAAAAAATATATATAAACTTAGTGTTTATGAGGTTTTTAATGTTTTGGATCTACAACAATTTCAAACTCTTTCTCCACCAAAATTAATAAACATTTGTCCTTTCTCCAAAATATTGTTCACGTTGAGTTAAGTTCACATTTTTGTGCCCACAAATCTTTTCATCTTAATAGTTTTGGCCCACATATGAAAAAGTTTGGACAGCCCTGGTCTACTCTGAAACCACCATAAAGAACTTTGGAGACGTTTTTTCTTTCTTTTTTTAATGTTTTCTTGAAAGTTTTGAATAATTTTTTTGAACTGCCTGATCAAAGTTAAATCATGTACCTGATTAAAAGTTTTTTCGGGTTAATGTGAGCCATGACTCTGTTGACCTACTGTACATTTTGTTGGAAAAAAATGACTCAACTTTTTTTGCATCAGTGAGTGAGTGTCATTTTTAGGTTTCAGGTTCAGGTTGGGTTTATTTGTCATATGCAAAATCAAAACAAGGTCAACAACACAGTGAAATACTTAGGACAAGAAAAACTTGTCTCGACTTGCCAAAAAATAACAACAACAAGAAATACCAAAGCATGCAGCAAAAATACTGCAAAGTAAAACATTGTACAAATACTACTAAAATACTAAAAACAAGGTGCCAGAGTTGAAAAAGAAAAACATCTACAGCAGTGCTATTCAACAAAACTGCTCAGGGGGCCACAGTTTCTGAAAGCCAACAGCTTGGGGGCCGGACATCCAGCAATTAAAACCGTTATGTAAATAAACCACAGTTTACAATGATCTGTTACCTTTTAAATTTGTTTATTTTATTGCATTGAATCAAATGCAATAAACAAAACCCAAACCCAGAAACAATTTTTTTTTTTTCATGAAGTGGGCTGGATTGAAGTCACCCTCCAGTTAAATAGCCCTGATCTACAGTGTGGTTCAGTTAGCAGTGAAGTTCTTTCAGCAGGATGGTTCTGTTCTGTTAGCGGCATGGTCTTGTTAGCAGACTGATAATTTGTTAAGTTAGGGCTTTCATTGCCCCTTTTTGGAGCAAGAAAAGATTTCTAGCAACACCCACCTCCTATTCAAAACTACAAAATCTTACAAACTGTATTTGCACTCATCACCTTGCATGGTAAAAAAAAATAAAAAAATAAAAAAGTGTGGTCTGGTAGTGCTTAAGTGTGTGTTGTGAAGGCCTCTCAGCTACTACTAGCCTCAGAGGAGTGGACGGGGGAGAGGGCGAGCTCCAGAAACCATCTTATCATAATCAAACTGGCTGGTCTACTATGGGAGTGTGCTGCTTGTGGGACTCAGTTTGTTGTTGCTCCTCAGACTGATGGAGACCTTTGGATGAAGGACGTAACGTCTCAACAAAAAAAAAGAACCCATCCAGATGACTTGTCAATTGATATTTTATGTCTGACACAACCACCAACCATCAAACTACGGTAGCCTGCATGTGTGGAGCAGAGGGCTGTCATCTAGGGTGTCTGGGGAATCTGATGGAGGGGTTAAGGTCCCACCTCAAGGGGCCAGTCAGGGACAAATGAAGGTGGAGGCAGGGATCCTTTCTCACCCATAATTTGTTGAAATGGTTAGGGGATTCAAACCGGCGACTTCCAAACAGTCATGCTTTCTCTAACTTCTGCACCACCACTCCCCAGCTTGAAGAAATGTTTGTGATATAAAATATGTTACATCATATAAATCATTTATTGTCAGATTTTAGTCAAGTTTTCTTCAAATCCTGCAAACCTCTGTTTGTGCATTGGGAAATTTTCGAACAGAGAACTGTTGCACCACCTTCGTACTATGACTCTTCCTCGTTGACTTATTTTCATGGTCACCTCCCTCCTCTGTGGTCCTGCAGCCACACAGCTGCTTCTGTCCGGGTCCTGTCTTGTGTTTCTGAGTCTGTCCTTGTTCCTGTGCTGCATGCAGGCCTCAGCCTGGTGGTGGGACTGGTGCTTTACATCTCCAGTATTAATGACGAGGTGATGAACCGGCCCAGGGAGCCCGAGCAGTTCTTCAATTACCACTACGGCTGGTCCTTCGCCTTCGCTGCCTCGTCCTTCTTACTCAAAGAGGTCAGTGTGTGTGTGTGTGTGTGTGTGTGGGTGTGTGTGTATATATGCACACATGCATGTATGTATGTACGTATGCATGTACGTACATACATGTATGCATGTACGTATGTATGTATGTACGTGGTAGTAGTTGAGATACACCCTCATCACACACTCCGAGTACCAGCATACTGCATGAAATCTTTGTTTTTAAACTTTGGCTCACATGCCATTTAGTATGAGTATGAATGAACTTTATTTTAAAAGGGACAATGTACAACTCAAACATAAATGTCACCATTTGATGCGCTGTACCAGATTATAACAAAAGCTAATTTGCAACTGCAATTTATTGTTATAATAGTTATAATATTTAGTGATGTGAGTTATTTCTAGTGATGCTAGTTTTTCTTTTACTCAAGAGTCCATTCAGGTATGAGGAGCGCAGGTACTGCCTGCTGTCTGTGATGTGATGTGACCATTCTGGACAGACTGTGGAGAGTTTATCAGTCAGGCCATCTGGACAGTTTCTTTTTTTGCTGAAACGTTTCAGCTTCCATCTGGAAGGATTCATCAGTCAAGAAAACACACAACACAAAACTGATTCTTCCCCCAAACAGCTTACTCCAAAGTGGAACAAACCATACCTGGATTATTGAACATGGACTTTTTTGGTTTTGAACCCGTTTGACACAACTGTCGACGAGGAAGAGGGCCGGCAACAGAGTAGGAGACGTGCCAAAGACACCATCTTAGCACCAACATAACTGGTTTGTTCCATTTTAAGTAAGCTATTTGGGGGAAGAATCAGTTTTGTGGTGTGTGTTTTCTTGACTGATGAAGCCTTCTGGATGGAGGGTGAAACGTTTCAGCATAAAAAAAAAACTGTCCAAATGACCTGACTGAAAATAGTTGGATTGTATACCTGGATTATTGATCATGGACTTTGTTGGTTTATGGAGAGTTTAATAATAAAGCAGAGCTGTGGGGTTGGAGAGGAAATAAAGTCATGAATGCACATGAGGTGCAGTTTCACATGCATCCTTTGCTTTTTTTTCTCACAGAAAAGAGAAAATGGTCGATCAAGAAAATTTTGTATCTGTGTACTAAATTTGTCTTACTCCGTGCCATCCACCCGAAAGTTTTTCAGGCGGTCATGGTGGTGTGTTTGATTTTGTTTGGAGCTGAAAGAAGGGAATTAACCATTCCTTAATCCAGGTTTTTCTTTTTTAAATGCATGACAATATAATGGTTTATGTTTATTTTTGCACTTTATGATGTTTTCCTAAACTCAACCACGTTGTTATTAAACCTTACTCGTCTTGCAGAAACAGTGTACAATTATAAAAACTAAAAATAAGGTCATCAATTACGCAAGATTAAAGCATCAGCACTTTGTGAAAGTTATTAAATGTCTCATCATTTTGACCGTTTTTTCCCATTGGTACCAAAAACACAAACATTAATCTGAGCGGACCTGAGTAATAAATTAACACAAAAGACTGTATACACCCTTTAATGGTTGTTTTCTTTGTCCCTTTTAGTTAATTTATGTTTTGTCTTTTTGTTACGGTTTTCTTGAAATTTGAGTCTCATTCTTAAACAAACAGCTCAGACTTTTTGGAAGTACACTTCTATGGAAAGAGTCCGAGTAATCAATATCTTACCTGTTATAGATAGATTTTTGAACAACCTCATCATGAATAAATAAAGTTCGATTCTGCCCAAACGGACGAGCTAACACTTAGTCAGAGCATGGTCAAAACCAAAGAGAAGTTATTCCATGTTAAAGCAAACCCAATCTGAAGACTTTCCTTTCGCGTAAACACAAATTATTATTTACAAACAAATAATTAATTATTCGTATTGTTTTACAGACCACATCTTTGAAACGTTTGAACTATCTCTTTACCGTACTTTTGTTTTCCTCGTTCTCTCCATCCACAGGGAGCCGGTGTGCTGTCAGTCTATCTGTTCATGAAAAGATACGCAGAGGAGGAGATGTTCCGCCCCCACCCCACCATCTACCGCCCCCGCCTGTCGGAGGGCAGCGACTACAGCGGCCAGTACCTCCACCCAGAATCCTCCTGGCCTCCACCCAAGAGAGGCCGCAGCACCTCGGAGATCTCCAGCGACATCTCCATCCAGCTCAACCAGACGCCGCAGGCGCCACCAAAGAGCAACCTCCAGGTGGGCGGGCAGATCAGCCCCCCCTCTGTTTCCTCCTCTGCAGGGAGCTACCAGATGCCCCCGCAGGCTGCCGGATACCCCTCCACTCACACCTTGCCCAGGTCGCACCCCTCGCATCCTCAGGGTCAAGCTCTTCCCCTGACCACCCCTCCGTCACCAGTGCCTCCCCCTCACTATCACACCCACGTGCACATGAGCGCCTCCCCCTGTTAGGAGGAGGAGGCTTCACAAGGAGACGCTGACTCTCTCTGTTCATCTGTGCTGTACATTTAGATGTGGGGAGGAAAGCTTTGGTCACACATCATGTCAGAGGAAGTAGAGGAGCATCACAAGAAGGACAATGGATTTCTGGGGACGTCGTAACCGAGAAGAACAGAATTTAAGGAAAGTGTTCGGACCGAAAGACCTGAACAAGCAAGTGCAGGGAAAAAGTTAATAAGAATGTAAATGAGGGGGGAAGTGTTCCCTGGAAAGACATTCCAGGTGGAGACGGGAGGGGGGGGGGGGAGTCCTGCGGTACGATACAGAGATGCTGCAGTGCTGCTGGAGTTTATGTGCACTTGGAAATACAAAACATTAGTCTCAAAAACTGAGAATGCACAGTTTTTACATTGAGTTTATACCAAACTGCAAGTCGCATTAAATAAAACATGACATCATCATTTTAGCTCCATAACTCGTATCCATCACAGTGATGATCAATTTTAATACGTGAACTAGTTACCAATAACTGTTAAACGACACTACAGTGTATATGAGCATTGTTAAGGTTTGTAAAAATTAAAATAAATAAAATAACTGTGGAGATAACTTCAAAATATCATAAGAAGGTATCGCTTCATATATTTGTATAAGACACGAGTTTCTATCTTCCTGTACATAACTGCACATGGTTTATGTTGTAAACTGTGAGTGACGCTTCAGAGCAAATCACGTGAAAGACATGAAGAGCAGCTCGTTCTGCTCACGTCTGCACCGCAGCAGAAGACAGCCTCCGGGTGCAGAGCATGCTGGGTTAAATGAAGGCCCGACCCCCCAGCTGTTACAGGGATCTGATGCCCTCTAACGGCCGCTGTCGCTGATTCGTTGCTTTTTATGCACTCACCATTTTCTTCATGTTCTTTTTCCTTCTCCGGCCCTGCACCGTGTGTCAGTGCTCAGAGAAGAACTAAAGGAATGTCAGAGATGTTACAACAGGAATAACAAATGTTCTTTAAAGAGACAATTCAGATCTTTTATAGTGGGGTTCTTTAGAAATGTAATGAACAGTTGCTATCCTACCTGCTGCAGATAGCTGTTTGAATGACCTTCATTTTAATAATTTAATTCTGACCGGATTCATGACCTGAGAGCTAGTCTGAAGGGACTTTGCATTAAAAACAGGATTGCTGTCATCTTAACATAACATCAATTTAAAAACAACATTATAGGGTTTTGTGCAAACATCTGTGAAACATTGCATTTTAGATTAGATTTTTATAACATTCTGTAGTTATTTTCACAAGAAGCAAAAGTTGGCTCTAGCACTTCCTGTGCAGCCTGTGACACTTAAAGCTGAATATCACAATATTTCTACCAGAATATCAAAATGATGACAAACCAACTGTTTATAAAACAGCATTAGCGTGAACCATTATAATTTTTTTTAGAGATTGGAGTTGTTTTAAAATTACAGCAACCTATTTAGGCTTGACTCTGCACCAGTTTCGTCAGAAATATACCCTATTTCTCAAATTGATGTTCAAACCCCACTTCAAACGATTTGAACTATCCCTTTAATAGGGAATAATGTACTGCTGCCCAGCTGCTGCATATGTAAAACCCCTAATTCAAGTATTGCTTCTATCTGTGCTTACTGTTTAAATAACAGCATCACTTCTGTAGGTCTATGGTCACGTTTGCCAATAAACGAACATCCTGGGTGGTTTGTTTTTCTTTAATCCTGTGCACTGCAGATATATAGACCACAGCAAATCATGAGTCAGCATTCTTCAACTAACGGTCGACTCAAGATCTGTTGTAAATTATAACATTTTTTATAATGTTATTGTTCTGCTTTGACTTTTGGTATTGGTGCAACTTTAGCTTTTTGAAATATTTAGCCTTTTCTGCCATTTTTTTGTCTCATAGAAAATGAACTGAGCTCATTTTACATCCTTCAAATCTTTACATCTGTTTACAACCTTTTACTGCTCCTTTCACATTTTGTTATGGCTCAGCTTCTTTGTGCAATTTCAATTTTTTCTTTTTTTACTTTTTGGTACTCATTTCAGCTTTATTTGGCTAACTACAAGATTTTTCTGCTTCTTTTATTTTCTTTCTGCTGGTTTCAGTTTGTACTGCTCCTTTCAGTTTATTTCTGCATGTTTCAGCTTTTTTTTTTCTATTTCAGCTACTGTTTGTTCATTTTTACGCTAATTTTAGCTTTTTCAGCTACAATAATTCCACATGTATTGCCCTCATTTAAACTTGTTTTAGCCTCATTCAGCAAAAATTGCTCTCTCCACTGCTTTCTGGGAATTTAAGCTTTTGCCTTTTTAGCAACTATTCAGCAGGTTTTTGGGTTTTTTTGTACATTTCTGCTTTTTTCTGTTAATTCCCACTTTTTTGTGCTAATTTCTGGTTCTTTAAGCCTAACCGGGCAGAGTTGTGCTCTCTCCACTTCTGGTAATTTAGTCTTCTTTCTGGCCCTTTTTTAAGCTACTTTTCAGCTGTTTTTTTTTTTCTTTGTTTGTTTGTTTTTTCAAATTTCTGCTTTTTTTTCAGATGATTTCCACTTTTTTGTGCTCATTTCTACTTCTTTCAACATGATTGGGCACAATTGTGCACTCCACTTTTTTCTGGTAATTTAAGCTTCTGCCTGCCTTTTTAGTTACTATTCAGCTTTTTTTATTTCTGCCTTTTTCAGATAATTTTCACTTTTTGTGCTAATTTCTGCTTCTTTCAGCTGCAATTGGACACAATTGTGATCTCTCCATTTTCTTCTGGTAATTTAAGTTTCTTAATGCCCTTTCAGCTACTTTTCAGCTATTTCTTTTGCTAATTTCAGCTTTTTTAGCTAATTTATTAAATTTTGTGCTTCTCTTATTCAAACTAAATTCAGCAAATGTGTGTTTTCTGCTTTCTTCTGCTAACTTAGGCTTGTTCTTCCATTTTAGTTACATATCAACTATTTTTAGATAATTTCAGCTATTTTTCAGCAGGTTCTTCAGCAATGAGCATTCACACTGCATTTTTGCAGGAAATACAATTTATCTAGTTTTGTATGGGATTGATGCCAGCCAACCTTTTGTAACAGTTCAAGCAAAGCTACTTGAATATGACAGTGGAAAACTTGTACTACTCCATTTTTTTTATTGTGTGGTTAATTTTGGCATCATCATACATTGTTTTCATGTTGACTGAAGTGTCTGATCAAATTTTAGAAATAAAACAATGATACATGTGTGGTATAATTTTGACAAAGCAGATCTGTTTGATTAAATCAAAGTAGTCTTATTAAAGAGGTGAAAATCAGGGAAACATTGGTCTTAACAGATTATTAAATTAGCTGAACATGAGTTTTCTATCAAGAGACTGATTTTTTTATGAACTTCCTGCTTTTGAGAAATAAATTCATCATTAGAACAACACAAGGTCAGTTCTGATGTCAAGAACATCTGCAGAAGTTCTTGAACTGTAATTCTCAAAAAGTCGTCTTTAAATCCACCAGAAGAGTCACAGTCCCCTGTAAGTTAAGTTTAAGTTATATTAGTTGTTTGTTTTTATGACACAATGCTCATTTGATGTGTTGCTGCTGTCTTTGTGAAGAATCACTGATGCTTCAGAGTGATTAAACACCCTCGTACAGTCGAAATGTGGGATGAAAATCATAAAAACACAAAGGTAAGTAAAGTGGACAATCTGCATCATCACATATTGTTTCATTTTATTTTATTTTTCTGCAGTCAGAGGTGTTTTGTTTCTTGTGCTGCTGTAAATAAAGTTCAGCTGCTTGTGTTCAGAAGTTAGTCCGCTTGATGAAGACTGCCTGAAACAGACGCTCCTGTTAAATCTGAAGTCATTTTAGCTGAAACTGGGATACATTCCACATTGAAATAGGATCTACAGAAAAGTTATGAGCAATTATTATCTAACCTGTTGCAGTTGGATTGGTTTGGTTGGATTCTGATCAGACTGGTGAGCTAACAGCAAGACCGTCTGTCGTCTTAAAATAACTCCATCTACTATTTCAATTTATCTCACATGAACACTAATTTATAAACCTTTACATTTACATATTTACACTACTGTCAGTTTTGAATAAAAATAAAATAAAATAAACAATGCATAACACATGAAAACACAGTAAGACATTTAAAAAGGGCAAATTTAAACATTAAAAGCATTTTTAAACAGGTGGGTTTTGAGTTCTTTCTTAAAAGTGGAGAGATCGAAGCAGGCACAAAGCTGTTGGGGCAGTGAGTTTCAGAGGGTGGGGGCAGCGATGTTGTCGGGAGGTGGAAGGAATACTTTCCCACCGGCACATCTGAGACGGGGGCCTTCGGGGTTGGTCTGTCCATAACCGTGGCCGAGTTTGCCGAGGTAGTTAAAAAGCTCAGCAGCGGCAGGGCTCCGGGGGTAGATGAGATTCGTCCTGATTTCCTGAAGGCTCTGGATGTTGTGAGGCTGTTTTGGTTGACACCCCTTTGCAACATCGCATGGACATCGGGAGCTGTGCCACTGGATTGGCAGACTGGGGTGGTGGTTCCCCTCTTCAAAAAGGGGGACTGGAGGGTGTGCTCCAATTACAGAGGCATCACTCTCCTTAACCTCCCTGTAAGGTCTATTCAGGGGTACTGGAGAAGGGAGTTAGATTGTTGGTCAAACATCAGATCCAAGAGGAACAATGCTGGTTCTGTCCTGGCCATGTAACGCATGTAACTGAGGAACTGAAAGCAGCAGGTGAGTACCATATAGAAGGCTCTTAACTTGTCAGGTAAGAAGGTCGGATCCAGGACATCAGAGTCTGGAAACACCAAGGCAAAAACACAAAGTAAGTACTTAAATGTCTTAGTACATCAAACGGCTGGAAGCATACAATACTGGTAGGTAGGATAATGCTCCAGCAATGACTGGAGCTCATCTGAAGCCTTTAGTAGTCCTGGTACCAATTAAGGAAATGGCCTGCAGCTGCTCACCTTGCACTCAGGAACCTGGTGGAAAGAAGCAGAAATCCCCTACACCTTCTTCCTGATGTTACTGGCACTTGGGATTGTTACTCTATCACCACTGCCCTTTTTCTCTTGCTTGTCAACCACCACAATGTCCAGTTTGTTATCCATCACCATACTGGTATATCATATGATCATATTGACCTGGATCTGGAAGTCCCAAAGTATTTTTGCCCAGTCATTCTCCACTACTCTTGGTGGCAGCTCTCAGTTTGACTGTGGGACCTCCAGTCCATACTCAGTGGGTACATATATATTCAAGGATTCAAGGTTCTTTATTGTCGTTCACATCGCATGGGAGGTGGAACAAACTTGTGTCCACAGGGTCCCAGTTACATCCAATAAAAGTATAAAATGTAAAAGCAAAACAGTATTAGATCTAAGATATGAACTAAGAACAACGTTAAACTAAAAATGCGTTAAGCACTTGTAGCACAAAAACAACATGCCGAACAGCAGCATGAACAAGTCTGTGTGAGCAGATGAGTATGAATGAACACAGCAACATGAAACAGATCAGCAGCAACATGAAACAGATCAGCAGCAACATGAAACAGATCAGCAGCATCATGATGTGATTTTTCACAGTGATTATCCTGGTTAGAGATTCATGAGTCTAACAGCTTTAGGGTAGAAGCTGTTTCTCATTTTAGTGGTTCTACACATGATGCTCCTCAACCTACTGCCTGAGGAGAGCGGGGCAAAAAGTTTGTGTGCTGGGTGAGTGGGGTCCTTCATGATGCAGGTGGCTCTCTTCCTGCATCTGGAGGTGTAAATGTCTGTGATGGTGGGGAGACTGACTCCAACAGACTTCTGTGCAGCCTTCACCACTCTCTGCTAAGCTTTTCTTTCTGCAGCTGTGCAGCCTCCATGCCACACATTGATGCTGGAGCACAGGATGCTCTCCACTGCACACCTGTAGAAGGAGGTGAGGACTGAGCTTCTCTGATGAGCTTTCTTGATCAGGCTGGTGGTATTGTTGCCCCAGCTGAGGTTGTCCTTCAGGTGCACACCCAAGTACTTGTAGCTGGGGACCACTTCCACCATAGATCATATATGTCATCCATCCTACTTCCTACATTTCTTTTTAGAAAAAATTGTGACAACCCAGGCTCTCATTTTCCCTCCAGCTCATGATCTGTCCATCTCACCTCAATCTGTAGCTATATCTGACCATTTTGAGCTTATCTCTTTGTCTTCTCTGGAGCAGGTAATGTGCGGCATGAAACCATCTGGTTCCCCCTTTGATGTGCCCCCCCCCCCCCCCCCTGACTACTAAGGTGGTTTTTCCTACTCTGGGCCCTTCTATTCTTGCTATTGTGAATAGCAGTTTAACCCCAGGTGTGGTGCCAAAAACCTTTAAACATGCTGCTGTTCAACCTCTTCTGAAAAAGCCTAACCTTGACCCCTTAGTCGTGTCCAACTTCAGGCCTGTCTCCAGATTCACATTTGTTGCCAAACTACTGGAAAAAAATAGTTGAGTCCCAGTTGAAGTGTTTCCTGGAGGATCATGCCATCTTACAGCTATTCCAATCTGGCTTTAAACCTCTCCACAGCACTGAAACTGCCCTTCTGAAGGTCTTCAACGACATCTTCCTATCCACAGATGCTGGTGACTCTGTGCTGCTTGTCCTATTGGACCTTACATCTGCTTTTGACACCATCAACCATGAGATACTCATTGCTAGGTTGGAGCAGTGGGTGGGCATCACAGGGTCTGCCCTCAATTGGTTTAGATCCTACCTCACTGACAGATCCTTTTGCGTCTCCATCAAAGGCTTTAGTTCAGCAGCGGCAGAGCTTACTGGCAGACTGGCTACCGGTTCACCTTCGAATTCAGTTCAAAATACTCCTGTATGTCTACAAATCACTGAACAGTTTCGCCCCCTCCTATCTCTCTGATTTGCTACAGCCTTATGTCCCACCACATTCCCTGAGGTCAGCGAACCAGTTACTTCTCACAGTTCCAGGGACTCGTCTTAAGCGCAGAGGTGACAGGGCCTTCTCTGTAGCAGGACCAAGACTTTGAAACGAGTTACCTCTGCTTGTCAGACAGGCCCCCTCCCTCTCAGTTTTCAAATACCACTTAAAAACTTACTACTGTTCCCTGGCTTTCAACACTGTATGATTTGTGTTTGAACCAGTATGCTTCACACTGGGTTAGCTGCTATGTTTATTATCTGCAACTATTTTGTGTCTATATTTTGATTTTACTCCATTTTGTATATTGCTTGTGTGTTGCCTGTTTTCTGTTTGTACAGCACTTTGGTTGGCCTTGCCACAGTTTTAAGTGCTTTATATATAAAATGGTATGGTATCCATCCATTACCTTTAACCACTTCTTCCTTTTCAGGTTGCGGGGGGTCACTGGTGCCCATACCCAGCAGTCACTGTGCGAGAGGCGGGGTACAGCCTGGACAGATCTCCAGTCCATCACAGGGACACATAGAGACACACAAGACAAACAACCATTCACTCTCTCACTCACACCTAGGGACAATTTAGAGTTACCAATCAGCCTAACGTGCATGTTTTTGGTCTGTGGGAGGAAACCGGATTACCTGGAGAAAACCCACACATGCACGGAGAGAACATCCAAACTCCACACAGAAAGGCCCCCGACCAGGATTTGATCAGGCAACCTTCTCGCTGAAAAGCAATGATAGGGTTTTCGTATCTTAAAACTTTTTCGTATCTTAAAACTTTATCCACCTTTGTCTTAGAGTGCCTGTTTGACCTTAAAGCTGTGAACTTGCAAAGTTAAACCAACTGAAAGGAACTGATAAAGATCACCCACGCAGCAGTTTCTGAGAACTGTTTTTTTTTTTTTTTGTAAAACCACAGATGTCAGGGTTTTATACATATCAACTCATACTTTATCAATCTCACATTATCAATCTCACACTGTTATTGTTTTTCTTAACTCTGTTTCTGTGCATACGAAGCAGAATTAACTGATACAATGGTATCAGGAACTCATTACTCACACCATGTCCTGAGTTTTTGAGAAGCGTTTAATCATAAACCAAAATGTTCTAGACCACCTTGCCCTCGTTGTGTAATCTAAACTGCCTGCATAATCAAGATGTTCCAGTTTTCACTCCTTTCTGTGTGACAATAAAAGACGAGCAGATGCTGAAAGACTTTGGAGTTCTCAGCTCACAGCCTTAACACAGTTGTGACTGTGACTCCCCTTTTGCAAAAGCTCGGATGTGAACTTGCACTGTGCTGTCTGTTTGGTTTTTTAAGGTAGGAATTACCTATCAAGCAACAGCTCTATCAACTGCACACCACCGCCTGTACATATACAAGACATGCATATGTATATATATATATATATATATGTATATATACATATATGTGTGTCTGTGTAATGCAGGAGACTACTGGAAGTAACTTCTCTCTGCACTGCAGTGAACCACTGGGTGTTCAGCCACCACAGCCTGAGGGCAACAATTGATCAGAGAGCTGCTGCACGGGTGCACGGGTTAGTGTGGCTGCATTCAGTGGTGGTAAATACATTTGTGTGAAGGTTAGTCATTTGACACCACAACAAACATGATGCTGGGATTTCTATTAGGAAATAATTGTACGAAATGGGTGCGAGAGATATTCTTTGAGTCTCCTAAACAGGGATGGGAAAATTAGGAGAAAAAAAATGTAACTTCAGTTTTGCACAACAAAATAAAACGAAAATATGATGAACATTTTAAAACCCACACAATTAATACAAGGTTTGTAATAAACCAGCAAAAACACATGAACACATATGAAGGAAGGGGGGTGGGATCCATTTGCACTCCGGTCTGAGTTTAAAGGAAAGTCAAAAGTTAGATGTAGATATGTGGACGGTGTGACATCAGGTCAGTAAACATCAGAGTCTGAGCTGCATGTTCTGTCAACAGCTGAGATCAACTCAGACACATTCTGTGAAAACACTTTGTGTCTGAGTTTACCTCTGTCTTTCCTTTTGTTTATCTGTGTGTGTGAGCGTGTCTCTTTTCACCATCACTATTACTGCATGAAAGACCTGTCAGTCTATATTAACTCTACCAAGCTCTCCCCACCCTCCCTCTCTCTCTCTCTCTCTCTCTCTCTCTCTCTCTCTCTCTCTCTCTC